ATAAATATTGTAAACATTGGCTTTTCTTCTGTCTTGTAAATTAATTGGTGAATTTGCTTCTTGCAGATATTTCCCCAAGACAGAAGAGTTGGTCACTGCTGCGTGTTGCCAGGGGAAACGTTAATCACATCTTTGTCAGCGTTCAGTCAACTTTTCTTGTAATATTCCTGTTATATGAAAGTTACCTTAATGTCTTTTGAATTGTATTTAACTGACTGTAGCAGCAGAATTGTTGTCATGTTAATTTATAAGAGCTGTATCACACTAAGGCTAAACAAACCAATGTTACATAATTGCTGCTGTTGTTGACCACTGATGAAGATGACTAGACGGTTTACCTGTAAACCATGTGCAATCAGCTTTTGTCTTGTAACTACATGTTACGACAGTGGCCAGTCTGATTCATAAACCCCAAGTCAAACTATTTATAAAGGTCTCCTCTGTTGTGTACAAAGAGGCCATGAAAACAGAAGCTTACAAAAGTCTTTTCAATCCGGAAACTAAAATCTTACTGGAATGTCTGCTCCAAAAACAGATTTTCAGACGATAAAGCCCCTCTGAGCGGGACACGGTCCCAGCATTTCCTCTGTATCCCTTTACCTGCTTCCTGCTTACAAACCTGTTAGGCAACTGTGGGTGTGTGTCAGAGTGTTTTGTGTCGGGGTAACCAGGCAGTTCCTGGCAATGACCTTATTCTAAAACCAAATCAGGGATGTGCCCTGAGTGAAACAAATCTAGGCGTCATCTGGTTGAAACTAATAACACGGATGAGTCATCTCTCAAACTCAAGTCCAGTTATTAAAGCCAAACCAGCAAACCTGCCAACAGCTGCTTGTTTTTTTTACAATCAAGACTTATAAATAACACACAGTACAAAGGTGAGAGTCAGGCTACAATGCCTTGTGTTTAATGGAGCGTTTACAGTTAATTATCGGTACACTGAGGTTATGAACCTCAAAGCCTTCAATAAGGCTGAGAAGCAGTTATTGCACTTTCTGACAATATTCTTCATTTTCACCTGTAAAAAAAAATGGCCATTAATAATAACAAATCTAGACTATGAGGTACAACCAGTATACACTGTGTAATATGGCTATGGTTTGCATTCATGCAAAGTCATTTATGGCTTTTACTCTATGTACATACTGTTCATTGTAGACGTGCAAAACTACAGTTGAAACGTATTGCAAACACTTGCATTAAAGCTCATTTTTTCTGTCTATATTGTAAAGCTCCTCTATTTTGTGCATGGAGGTGTAATAATTACTTTATCAACAATACATCTGATTATTAAATCCAGGCCTAACATGATGCTGGTTCTTGCAAGAGGCTGAATGAGGCTAATAACACAAGGCATCAAGACCAGGAAGTGCAAGAGTGCATCAACTTAATTAAGGCCATGCTGAGACACAAAAGTCTTGGCTGTGGTGTTTGAGCTGATAATGAACTAAGAGATGTTAGCGAGCACTGGATGAAGGTGAAAACAGAGAAAACAATGAGAATCACTGCTTTGTGAAAACAATATAACTGTCACATTACATAGCTGTAATACTTGAGGTAAACAACCAACTAAACTCTGTGTTGTGCTCATCATTTCAACAGCCTAATGCCTGAAACATGACACATAGAATCAACTGTGTTACCATGACAAGTGTTTCCTCCACCTGGGAGATAAAGAGCTCACAAGAATAAAAACAAACATTCTCTACGCTAGTGGAGACGATTACTGGAGGACAGTAGTTAGTTTCCCAGCATGTGGTGTGACAGAGAAACATTTCTGGGTGTAACGCCATCTTTAAAGGAATTTTAAGTCTTTCTTGCTGTGCTGGTTTGATTCTAATTGTCTCATTGCATTTCCAAAAGTGGCGCGTCAACATTTTCTGCTTCCCTTGTTGGTTGCCCTCTGCTGCAGCTCTGATGCTGCACAACCTGATCAAAAACTGACCTGTGAGTTACCACAGTTACCCTAGTTACTGTTCTGAGTAATCAAGGTCCTGGGATCATGTTGTCCTAGTGGGTGTTTAAGTGGACAGTCAGGTCCTTTAGCCCTGGTCAGTGAGGTGGAAACCTAACTTGGCCACAGTCATCTCTCTGCGAAGACGCATCACCTCCCAGAACATCTGCTCCGCTGGACGAGGATGAAGACAACAACAACAAAATTAATTTCAGATATGTAATTAAAAGCAAGAATCAAAAGAGGCAACAAAGTCTGTTTTATGTCTGTTTTAGCCTACCATCATGTCTCACGAGCCCCTGCTGGATGTACCGGATATAAGTGAAAAAATTGCAGACAGCCGTGATCTAGAGAGGTGGAAACAAAAGGACAAGGTCACATGCAGCAGCTCCTAACAGCAGCAACAGAAATGTTTCGAATGAAGGTAACAAAGAAAAGTGATAGTCACCCGTGCACGGCTGGAAGGAGAGATGTAATAATAGCTCCCCTTGTCGCCGAGTTTAATGCGATGTCGGCAGAGCCGCGACATGCCGCTTAATGCACATTTCCTACAAGCGCAGAAGATCAGCTGTCAGAAACGTACAGCTACAGCACATAGATATAACATAGATACATACAGTCACTGCTTTATGACAGCAAACACTGAACATGAGTTACACTTCTTCAGGTATTCAGTGATAAAACCTACATTTCTGAGTAAAGCTACATGAGAGAACACGTTCAGTTGGAAGCACATTGTAGAAGAAAAACAGCACGAAACAGAGGTGCACAATCAGAGAAAGTTAGTCACAGAAAGACGAGGAGCGAGGACATGGTTGGAGGTGTCGTTAATGCAAAACCAGACACATGCAGGGCCCCGTGTGGGTCACAAATGTACAGATTTGTTTACAACGTCTCACACATCTGGATAAGCAGACGTCATTTCATGCTACAGTAATCTGAGTTAGTGAAAAGCTGAACAAACGATTTGGTTCCTGAGAGGACTTACGTCTCTATTGCAGCCCTAAAGCCACTGAAAAAAAAAGATTTTAGATCAGACAGTGATTAGAAATGTGCCCATTGATTAAACCACTCAGATACATGGTAAGACAGTGAAAAGGAGTCAGCTATGATCAGGAATCATCAGTGGAGGAACCGAAACCAAACAAGAGTGAATATCCAGTGTTGACCTGACTATTGTTTAGCAGTGAGGAGTGAAACAGAGGACACAATGACAGCTATTGTAGATGTGACAACTCACTTAGGACCTCCACATTCTACGGCCGAGGCTTTAACCATCGGTAATGCGGACATGGCCACAGGCTCGATAGTCAGAGAGTTGTTTTCCACTGCGCTCTGAACCAGCTGGGACAGCTGTGGAGAACAGGAAGCACTAATGTTTACATTAAAATACAAACGTGGCAGTGCAGCGGTTGTTCGACGAAACAGCGAGAGTCTGACCTCGGATCGTGTGAAGGAGAGGCAGGGTCCGATGTCTTCTAAATAAATGCGACTCAGGAAGGCGGAGGAACGGTCAAGACTCGGATGTTCCTTCCACATCAAAAACTCTGCAAACAGAACTGAGTCCATCTGCAGAAAGAAAAGAAAATTTCAATCAATCTGTCAATAAACTACATGAAGCTCCACCTCTGATGCAATGTGTTTTGTAATCACCTTAGATCATGTTATGTTCATTTTAGAGCCATACAGAGTCAGGAGTTCATGTCCTGCACTGTCTGACAGACCAACTCCTGTGTTTATGTAACCCACATTCTGATTCTGGTACATATAGAGAGCCACTTCTGTTCTCTTTGTCTTTCTCTCAGGAGATAATTCACCTCCTTCCATCCTTCACACTTACAGCAGCACCATCCTAACCTTGGCTGTTGCTCAAGAATGATGCAATTACACCCTGATGGCTAAAAAGTCTTGGAGAATCTGAGCTCCTTGCAGCTGTAAGTGTTTTTAAAACACAGGCATTGACCAGTGAAACTGCAAACACCTTATGACACAATGCTAGTTATGAACTTTACTGTCCATCAGATTGAGGAGGAAAACAAAGTCTTAACAAACATGACAATAAAGGACATAATGGCGTCGTACAAAAATCATTATACAATACAGACGAAAGCTTGGTGCATCGTTTATGTTTTTAAAAGGAGACTGCAGTGGGTTTTCACACTGCATTCGACAAGAAGTTCTCACTTCTGTGTACATTTATGGTGCCTCTAATGTCTACAGCACATCCACAAATATTTAAAATGATGCTCTGTTCCTGCTGTGCACTGTCAGCTGATTAAAGAATACATTTTCACAGCAAGTCTACCATCTACCTCCTCATGTTAACACGAATTTAAAGGCACTGTAAATATGTGCTTGCTATTCTCCACTAATGACGAATATCAGTTTAACGTTAAAAGAACCAACTCTCACTACAGCCTGAATTATTAAGGCTAATATGATTTTTTAAAAGTACACTATCATTCTTATTAAACATGATTTAAACATTTTTGATGAGGTTTCACCTAAAATGTGTTATTTTAAGAATAACAACCATGATATGCACAAACACCACCATTTACAGTAAAAAAAAAAAAATAACATCTTTGCCACTCGTGTTCTGCAGTTTCTTGTAAGTTATCAGACAAAACGTACACACATGCAGCTCTATCTGCAATAAGCTGATATTAGCCAATATATCTGTATCTATCAGTGGGACTTTGGGTACAAACAAAGACTGGTTTAAACATAAAACATGTATTAAAAATTCAAAGTTGCAGTTAAGAAGCCCACTGAGAAAGAATCAGTACTCTGACTCTTCAGTGTATTTTTTACAAACTAGAGGAAGATGCTCTCAAACCATACTGGTGCATAAATGAAGATAATTACAGAAAACAATGCCAGCAGCTAGACTTGAAAGACTTATGAGGCCAAGTCAAAGGGATGCAAGTTACCTGTCTGCTGTCAGTGCCCAGCCCCTCTCTGTGCTGCTGCCATGACGGGTCATAGTTGACACTGACAGAGTGTCCAGGCATCAGGCAGAGAATCAGAGAGAGGAGAGCAGGAGCAGTAGGCTGACAGAGGAGGAGACGCCAGAGACCGACGAGAAGAACAAGTCAGAGAGAGGTTAGTAGAGAGAGAAAGAAAAAGACAAAAGCAACCTTGGCTCAATGCAAGAGATAAGAGAGACTGGAAACAGGAAAAAGAGCTACAAACAGAGGAATGCACAAGTCAAAAGTACAGAAACATACTTGCAGGAGAGAAGAAACAAATGTTTCAAACTTGGTTCAGGTTACCTCTCGGTCCTCTTTGGCCGCAGGCTGAATGGAAACAGATGAAGGCTCTGGTTTTCCAGATGAGGACGGAAAGCCTCCGCTGGCGCTCTTGTTGCGAATGTGGCCGCCGACGTGTTTGTATGCTCCCCTGGTACCTGAAGACTGCAGCTGAGGATGCAGCTGACGGTTTGGTGAAGAAGGTGTGGAGGTCAACACCAGAGTCTTGAGTGCCGTCACCTCTGCCTGCAGAACGTCAATCTGGGAGAGTGACAGGGAAAGCAACGATGAGAATTTGGAGAGGAAAAAGGTTATTTATATCTTTTAGCTTGTAAAGAACCACACTGTTCCACCAAAGCAACTTTTATGAGTTGCTTTGTTCAAATAAAGACTAATCTCACTTTGATCCTGAAACTGTCAAGGTGCTACACAGGCACTGTAATACAAAAACAGGTCCTAAACATGACTCAGCCGGTCACATTTTAACTAAAGACACACAGTAAAAACTTGACACACCTTCCCCTGAGCCTCCTTCAGCTGTTTCTCTGCTGCTGCTTGTTTGACATTAGCTTCACGCACCATCTTGTGAGCTTCCTGTTGAAAAGACGATTGAAAATGCATCAATCAGATAAACACATAATAAATATTTATGTTTGTTTATGCTTGTTGGATATAAAAAGGGTTATGCTCCTTCAAAGGTTTAATTATATCAAAGTTATTGTTGCAACTGTTTTTAGTTGCCACCTAAGTGAGGCAGGTTTAAAACTACAATTGTGCATTTGAGGACTTTCACAGCATCACACCGCTTCCCTCATCATCAGCTATCCAAATTACAGTGCACTAAGCAGAGCGCCTTGATTACTGCTGACCTCAAACAGACTGGCCGTCAGCTCCTCCAGCTCTTGTTCCAACTGATTCCTGACTTGCGACAGACGCTCACACTCTTTGTCTTTTAGTTTCAGTTCCTGAGATGTGGACGAGAAAGTGTCACAATCACATTTAACAGGGAAGAACATTTGCATTGTCATCTCTTTTTTTTTTGTTCCAGGGAACACTATCTTTTGTGTGTCTATGCGTGAGAGCATAAAGTAGGTTACAACACCTTCTTTGCAGCGTCCAGCTGTTCCCTAAGGATCTCTGACCCTTTTTCTCTTATTTCCTTTTCTCTGATCTCCAGGGAGGAGCTGCGGAGTCGGGAGAGCTGTCCATGGCCTCTGCCTGAGGTGGGCCCAGCCTGGCCTCCTCCCTCCACTCTGGACTCTGGCTCTGGATCCAGATCTACCAACCTTCACAAGACCACAATAAAAAAAATCAGCACAATCAGCATAATCTTTTGTCAAAACCGTAACAGCTAGAATAAAACCACACAATTGTATTGCGTTATAATGATAGTTCTGTGGAAAAACAAAAAGGAGGAACTCTACAGCCTGCATAATCCTGGGGACAAACTGATATCTATCATGTATGATGTCACTTTTGGGTATTCACGTTCTTCAATGAATAGTTTCTGATGAAAAAAAAAAAAGAGCCCTGGATGTTGAGTTTATCAGTCCAACATCTTTTTCACAGCAAACATTTTGCTTCTGGAAGCAGACAAAATGCAGTTATTACTAATTGAGCTGGAACAGTTAATCAGTTAGTTGTCAACTGCTACAATAATAGCCAACAACTCTGATAATCAATGAATCCGTTTGAGTAACTTTTTACGGACTGAAGGTTAAATTCTCTGATTCCAGCTTCTCCATCATGAATATTTCAGGTTTCTTTACTCCTCTGTGACAGTAAAGTGGGCTGATCAACATTTTTTTTGACCTATTATCGACCAAACAATAGATCACAAAAATAATTCAACTGTGAAAATAACTGTCCTGCTTTTCAATGTTGTCTGACTTTTTGGCGGCAAAACACTCAGATCAATAATACAAATAATCTAATACATCTGCATATTACATCTGTAAGCTTATCTGCACCGAATTATGTCATTTGCACATCCGAGCACATGATCATTTGCACATTCTGATCATTTGCACATTTCTCTATCTCTCGTATACTCTTGTAAATTTTTTAGATTTTTCTTTCTATATTATATTTCCTATATTTTTGATCTTATTTGATTCTACCTTCATTTTATACCCTATACCCTGACATTCAGTGTTGTTTTTCTGCTTTGTTTACCCCCTTTGTTGAAAATTCATGCTGCTGTAACAACTGAGTTTCCTTCTGGGGATTAATAAAGTCAGACTAAGTCTAATATTTAACATTAGTATGTATAGTAATAGGTGTTTTTTGTTTTGTTTTGTTTTGTTTTGTTTTTAACTATTATGTAAGGACAAGCTGATTAATATAGAAAATACACAACTGAATAAACAATATTTCAAACATGTATTTGCTACAACCCTCAAACTACAAACACGATCAGTGGCTCCAGTGCAGTCAACAGCCCCAGTGAGCCATTAAAGTGAATCACAGCCTGAACCTGAAGCAGATCGACTGCATTCATAACTTTATCATGTGCATCAGCGCGTTTCCATCTGGTTCCACCTCGGCTTTCAAAACTATGTGCTGATCATCCATTTCTGCAGCCGAACTGTGTCTGACAGCGTTAAAATATTTGCTCCTCCGGCTCTAATGCGTCCCACATGTTCCCAGCAGACGACCCCGGAGGGACCCCGGACCACCGTTCGGCACCCATACTACGTTAGCATTCCCAGTATTTCATGTTAATTAAAGCTTCACAGCCCACATTGCTGCTCGCAGTAACTTTTATCCCTGACTTGTAGTTCAAGTCCAAAGCAGCGGACTACCTCCAGCTAACTAGCCAGTTGGCTAACAGTTAAAGTTTGTCCCCGGACAGCCGCTCCGTCAGTGTCCGCCCTTCCCCTGCCGCTGTCCCGGGCAGCACACTAACCTCCCGGCCTGTCCGTGTGTCTGTCAGCTGCTCCCCTCCAGCTTCCTCCGGCTCTCTTCGTTATTCAATTAATAACTGTAGTCCACACGGAGCTAACGTTAGCGCGTTTCACTGAAGCTGAGGCGGCCGTTTGAAATCACAGCGGAGGAATGCGGACGCTGACGTAGACAAACAACAACAACAACAACAACAGCAGCAGCAGCAGCAGCAGCTGTAGCACAAACAAAAACAAACCGAGAAGAGGTTCGCACGGGCCAGGTGTTTCTGTCAGTGCTGTCCTCTCTTCTTCATCCACGTATGAAACCAGTGTGTCCTGTGTTTCTGCTCGCTCCTGCTCTCGCAGGTCACATGACCTCCACTCCCAGACACACACACACACACTCACATCCTTCCCGGACACACGCTTCACCTCCAGGCCTGTCAGGATCCGCACACACCCGAGGATCACACCAGCTAACTCATATCTGGACCAGGTAGTTGCTGCATTTTTAAAGAAATTAACATAAAGTGTGAGACAGCGTGCTCTCTGCAAAGCTGAGCGCGTGACAGCAGGCAGCAGCTGGTTCAGGGATTCTCTACATGTGTGATGTTAGTCTCATGTATGAGGATTTGCAGCTACAATCATATGTAAATGTGTGTCTTGTGAATAAAAATGTTTCCCTGAGTTCACCTGGACCTGCAGCTTCGACCTGTTCTCACTAGCAGCATCATTTTATGGTACATAAACTCAACACAGTGGTCCAGGTCCATCACATGTAAGACCCTCCACGTCTACAGAACATCAGAGAGTATTTACAAGGACCATCATCATCATCATCATCATCATCACCACCCACCAGCAGCATCACCTCAATGCTACAGGAGTCTGAAATAACTCAGTATTAGGGCGACCAAACGTCCTGTTTTTCCAGGACATGTCCTGTTTTCACGTCCCGTCCGTCCCTGGTTGTTTTTTATAAAGTGATGAAAATGTTCTGGTTTTCATTGTTTTTCTTTGGGCCACTAAATTGAATTATATTTGTGCGATACAACTTCAAAGATGCTTCTTGCAAAGACTTTCATGCTTATTTTAACAAAAAACTGCTGGGAAAGATCAGCTCTACAGTAATATATAGATGATGGGAAAACAAGGAGGATGAGGAAGAAAAACAGGATGAAGAGGAAAACTAAAGATATAGATATTTTTGTTAGTTTTTGTAAGTTTGTGAGAGCTATTTTTGATAAAGTTGGACTGCTAATATAACAGGTATGTTTTAGTTATTTATTATCTTTTTTTCTAATACAGAAGAGACAATATTTCTATCATTATTTCATTTTTTTTTTTTTAAACTTGTCATAACATGTTGAGTAACCTCTGAGAAGCCTATCTGAATATTTAGTAATATAACAACAGAGGAGGCGTACTTTAAATTGTATTGAAATTATAAGGCATCTTTGATAAACTCCGAGTGCCATTTGAGTATCTCATTGTCGGGCTGAGTGTCCTGGTTTTTGGTGATCAAAACATGGTCACCCTACTCAGTATTCAAGGACAGTTTCTACCCCTCATAAGACTCTAAACTCTAAAATGATCCTGCAGTTTTCTGATTTTTTTTGTTCTTGGTATGTGTTTATGTAGAAATGACAAACATGTTATCAGACTTTTTTTAAACTGTTGTATGCATAGAGAGTGTGAGCATCAGCAAACCTGACAGTAAAATGCATATCACTGGTCACACTAGTGACTGAGGGGTGTTAGATACTGACTACGCTCAGCCTCTTTTGTCTGAGTTTAGTCCTCCATCTCTCTTTCTCCCATAATTTCCTGTCAGATCTCTGCTGCACCCTCTAATAAGGCAAAAGGTACAATCAAAGCAAGTGCTGGTCTGACCCTGCCTTGGGCCTACAGCCTCGGTGATACTGGACTTACTACATCTGTGAGACGGCTTTGCTGCAGAATGAGATTTTACATGCAAAACACGCCTGAGATAAAAATCATGCACTACTTCAGTTACACACGTGGATAAATATAGACGTTTGCTTGCTGGTTTACATAATGTATGAAGTCATTTGACTTGACTGCCTGGCTCCTACAATAATGTGATGGTTGCAAGTGAAAGCATCAACAATCCTGAAGGGAACATTCTTCATAAAGAGCAGGAGCTGTGACAGACCAGGATGTAAATAATTGACAGGCCTGGTTACCTTCAGATGATTTTCTAAGCAGGAATCTTTATACTGGAGTTGGATGGAAAATGTGTCCAATAAAACCACCTCTCATGAGATTACTAGTTGTTCAGTAATGTACCTGTGCATGCATGTAAGCATCACGCATTATGTTTATGTCCTTCTTAGCTGAATAAAGAAGCTGAAGTTTACCTGAGTTGGGGCAAATAATACAACACACCTTTCAAGCTGGCATTTTAAACAACAAAACCTTCATGGTTATCCCATTCAGGAAAGTTCAAACTCATCTTGTTTGCCCCAGTGCTTCAGGATTTAAAACTTACCGTCCAACGACGCAGCCTCCCCCCTCAGTGGCTCTGCTGGACTTGTGTCTGACTGCACCTACATCAGGAGTCCCAAAGAAGACTGCAGAGGAATATACTGCGATTCCTGACCTCCCCGCCTTGAGGACTTCATATCCCGGGTTCGATGAAGCTGAAGATGGTGGAGAGGAGGAAATCTGGACGCTGTGAATTCCCTCAAAAGCATCCATGTGTGTCTCTCAGGAAGTGCAGAGACTCATTGGAAGCTGCTGGATAACATCAGTGAAGATTTAGTTTGTGAAATAGTTTGTAGGGTGATATCTGTGGGTGTTCAGCACCTAAGGTACAGAAAAGACAGAGCTACATACTGCAACTTCACATCACATTAAAACTATATGTTCAATGAACAGTCCTCCAGAGGACGAGCCATGACCTCTGCAAGTGTTTAAACTGTAACTTAAACACACTTCTGCTCTCTGAACACTGCAGAGCTTTACTTTGCAGGGTGTCACGCTAAAGGAATTTTTCTTTGAGATATCCAGTGTAAACATAAGTTAAGTACATGTGGAATGTGATACAATTCTACGAAGATTTACAGACAAAAAAAACACACAGAATATACTCACCAAAATGGACAAAAACTGAATCTCAGCTGTTGCCAGTGCACGAAAATCTGCAAAAACAGCACAAATTCTGCTTTGATAATCTCCACCTTGAGCTCAGTAAACTCTCCGCACTTCGCCCTGCTGTTGTTCTCCTGGTTAGACTGGAAGGGTTAATCACTAACACCATCTGACCAGGAACAAGTCAGCTGTACACAGTTCTTTCCAGCAGAGGGGGTCACACACAGTCTCACCTGACCTGCAGTTTTTCATACTGAACTTTTCAGGTTGAAAAAAACAGTTTCCTGCAATCCGGAGATGAGATATGTTCAGAGGTGTGTGTTTGATACAGTGAGAGGTAGATAGAAATGTGAACTTTGAATCATTGCTGAAGTTTCTTTCGTGGCCATATTTCTAATTCAAACACATCTGCTCAGCCCTCATGCCTTTCACCAGCCTATTTGTGGCGGCGTGTGCGCGCTCCACCATCCTCCGATTTGTTCAGATTAACAGGACCTGGCCTCACAATGCAGCTTTGTTGCAGAAACAGATTAACACATCAAGTGACCGGAGGTGTAGGAGTCCCTCACTCTCATTTTCTTTCCAGCTTTTCTTTCCCCAACATTCTCTCCCGACGCGGCCGCCACACATCTCCAGCCACAGAGAAGCAATTTCATTTTCAGTGGTAAGTTGGTAAATTTGACCTACAGTGACCTTTCAATGTAGTGTTTCTCTGCTAAGTTTACTTTCAGATGTGTCTTTAACCAATCAAAAAAAATATTTTAAAAAACTGTTAATTTTATTATTTAAGTAGTAAATGGAGATTAATTTTAGTTGATTTAGTATAGGAACTGTGCTCTGTATCTCAACACTAATAGGGATGTATAGATCCAAACTTGTGGAATATAGAATAAGTATTAGACACAACTGAGCTGAGCCTCCTGTTTTGTTTTCATTGCAGATATGTGACCACGTTGGCCTTATGAGATTGAGGCTGATCGCTGACGCTGAGCTCAAACGAAGCACAGAGAGCAACATCACACTGGTCTCCTTCATGTCCGGACACAGTCAGCCAGCAAGTTGGCCATCAAGCAGCAACAATGACAGTGACGTACTCACGCAGAGTTGCTGATGCAGGTCTGGGCACCTTCTTTAACCTGCTTCTGCGTTGGAAGGGCAGCATCTACAAACTGCTCTACAGAGAGCTCATCATCTTCACTCTGCTCTATTACTTCTTCAGTATTGTTTATAGGTAAGCTCTGAGAGGAAACTCTCTGAACTCCTGTAGTGTTTAGTAAAGTTCAGCCATATGAAGTAAGTAAGTAATGCTCTACACCAGTAATGACGTTTTATTTACTGTTATTATTGCCTTAAATGCATTAGATTTTAGAGCTGGTCTCCATACAAGGATCTTCAGACTCCTGGGTGTCTATGTGTCATCTTGAGAAGATCAGATTTAGAACAACAAAACTAATCTTAACTAGATGTTATAGCATCCATCCATCCATTATCTATACACCGCTTAATCCTCACTAGGGTCGTCAGGGGCTGGAGCCTATCTCAGCTGACTTAGGGCGAAGGCAGGAGACACCCTGGACAGGTCGCCAGTCTATCACAGGGCTACACTTAGAGACAGACAACCAAGCACACCACGGACAATTTAGAATCACCAATTAACCTGAGCATGTTTTTGGACTTGTGGGAGGAAGCCGGAGAACCCAGAGAGAACCCACGCTGCACGGGGAGAACATGCAAACTCCACACAGAAAGATTCCGGTGCCCCACCAGGACGCGAACCGGCGACCTTTTTGCTGCGAGGCAACAGTGCTAACCAACTGCGCCACCTTGCAGCCCCATGTTATAGCAAAACCATAGAAAAAGAACTATATTATAGGACCAACTCTCTATCTTAATCTCAGCTGCTGTCAATATAAACATCCACAATTTTCTTAAAAGTGAATTTTTACTGGACAAAGATTTTCAAATGGAGGTCAATAAACGTTTAGGAGACAACCAGCACATACAAAAGTCCTACCCATGATCTGTAATGCCATGATAGTTACACACCGATCAGCCACAACATTTCTAACCCCGTTATAACATTATGTTGGTGCCAAAACAGCTCTGATCTATCAGGGTATGGACACATGACCTCTGGGGGTGTCCAGTGTTGTTTAGCACTGGACATCAGCAGCAGTGAATCCTTTGGGTCCTGTGGGTTGTCTCTGTGTATTGGATTTGGGAGTTTCAGGAGTTCTGGGAGTTTGGAAGCCAGCCTTGGGATCTTGGTGGTGTTTCATGAGCTACTCTTGAGCAGGTTTTGCAGTGTGGCGGGGCACATCGCCCTGATAGGGAAGGCTGCTATCACGGGGGAGTGAGCACTTGCCATCAGAAGGGTGTGCTTGCAACAAATCTTAGGAGGGTGCTACATGTCAAAGTAACATCCACATGAATGCCAGAACAGAACATTGCATTCTAACAAGATGACCAATGTTATTCACACAACCTGTCAGCAGTTTTGATGGTGGGGCTGAACAGTGTAGTTTTGAAGTAGTTTTTAGGATCCTGAAAGATAAATGTCTCATATTTGAAAAGAAAAAAGGTTTTGACATAAGCAAAGATCGTTTGAGCGGTCCCAACCTGCAGACAGGAGGAAACAGTGCTAAAACAAATGACTTTTCACGAGTAAGTGTAGCACATGGTCTTCTTTAAAGGCTCACCTCAGTGCTTCAGTGTTGGAGAACTCACCAGATGTTTCCTTTACCAGGTTTGTGTTAAACAATGACCAGAAGAGGCTGTTTGAGAAGCTGTCAATATACTGCGATCGCTATGCAGAGCTCATCCCTGTGTCGTTTGTGTTGGGTGAGTCGGGGCTGACATTTCTACTCCTGTTCAGTTCATCTAAACGCCTGTGTTCCTGGACACCATCACTGAAACTTGCCATCTACTTATTTACTGTTTTTCACCAGGTTTCTACGTGACTTTGGTCGTATCTCGTTGGTGGGGCCAGTTTGAGAACGTACCCTGGCCAGACCGTTTGGCGGCGTTGGTAGGAGGTCACGTCCGCGGAGCTGACGAGGCCTCCAGGCTGACCCGTCGAACGCTGATGCGGTACGCCAACCTCTCTGGTGTGCTCATCTACCGCTCTGTCAGCACAGCCGTCTACAAGAGGTTCCCCACCATGGAGCATCTGGTGCAGGCAGGTACGATGAAACCTCAAAGGTCTGGGGTCTGGTTTTCATCACACTGAACACAAACATGTTCAAAGCTGCCCTCTCAATTTGCATCAGTTAAAAGTATTGAAGAAACAGTCAAACGTCCCTTTTAGACTTATACATAACAACAAATAGGTCCAAAAGCAAAACATCAGTCTCCATCTGATGTGGTTGGACTATTTGTAAGGTGCTTGTTGCTACTTGGTGACTGAGCTCACAAGTTCTGCTGACCAAAATCAAAACAAGCATCATTTGGCTGCTGTCATCTCCACACTATCCCGTGTCCCGCTCAGGTTTGATGACGTCTGAGGAGTTGAGGCACCTAGAGGATCTGCCATCTCCACATAACAAGTTCTGGGTGCCCTGCATGTGGTTCGTCAGTCTGGCTCTGAGAGCACGGACTGAGGGTCGCATCAACAACGACGTGGCGCTCACGGCCATCCTCACTGTAGGTGTTCATGTCTGCAGGTCCAAGGGGCCGGAACTTCTTCAAATCTTAGCTTCAAAGCGTTTTCTGGTTTTGCATGACTCTTGCTTTTTTTTTCTCTGTTCAGGAGTTGAATAGTTTACGGGCAAAGTGTATGAAGCTGTACGGTTATGACTGGATCAGCCTGCCTCTTGTCTATACTCAGGTTTTTTGATGCTGCATTGTGTGCTGTAGCCAAAATACAGTTGATGATTTGGCAGTAGAACAAAAAGACCCAGTAGTTCTCATTCACTGTCAAAAAATGATGCCAAAAACAATGACAGTAAACTAGTTTTAGACGACTAAAAAAGATGTACTCTTACAACAATCCTTTTGTACCTAAAATGATTAACTCAATCAAAATGAATTTGATGAACAAAAAGAGAGTGAAATGACTAAATTGACTTTGGAAATTTTTCTCTGAGGTCGTTTTGAACACTGCCAGACTTGACTGATGTTTTTTAATTAGGTGGCGACGGTAGCAGTCTACAGCTTCTTCCTGGCCTGTCTGATTGGTCGTCAGTTCTTGGATCCGGCTCAGGGTTACGCCGGTCACGATCTGGACTTCTACCTGCCTGTTTTCACCCTGCTGCAGTTTTTCTTCTATGTTGGTTGGCTCAAGGTGAGGCTCAGCTGATTATATGATCCACTCACAGAAATTTGATTCATTTCTTCACTTCTGACCTTTATTGAGGAGGTTTTTTGTCTTGTTTCAGGTGGCTGAGCAACTCATAAATCCTTTTGGTGAAGATGACGATGACTTTGAAACCAACTGGCTTGTTGATCGCAATTTACAGGTGTGGATCTAAAACAAAGTGTTTGTTTTCCATCGACAACACATTGTGGTTGTCTTGTTTGACCTGCAGCGGTTCTCAATGTGTCCCAGGTGTCCTTGTTGTCTGTGGATGAGATGTACGACAGCCTGCCGCTGGTTGAGAGGGACATGTACTGGAATGAGTCTGAACCTCAGCCTCCCTATACAACTGCCAGTGCTGAACATCGCAAACCCTCCTTCATGGGCTCAGCTTTGGACATCAGGTTCACAACAGTTTTTGTTGTCTTGCAGACATTTCTCAAATCTACTCTTCACATGTGGTTAACCTTCTGCTTGATCTAAACCAGTGTTCCTAAGGAGGAGATGGAGTTCCAGTCCAATCTGGAGCAGATCAAAGAAAATGAGGAAGCTAACTACTCCACGCCGCTGCTTGGAGGGTTGGGTCGTCTTCTCGGTGTCCAGTCCCCGAACTTCCCTCGCTCCTCCCGGGTCTCTCTGCTGCGTCGCCGCCCTGGAGCGCCGCTAAGTCGCTTCCCTCTTTACCTGCACCCAGAGGCGCCATCGACTCCAGGTCAAGGCCGCCCGCCTTTAAGCCAGGATCCGGACTACGCCTTCTCCACCTTGCCCTTATATGAGAGACCAGGTTTCTACAGCTGCCCACAAACACCCATCCACTGCGTGCCCCCTGCGGTGCCCCGACCTCGACCCGCCCGGAGAACCCAGAATGAGTGGGATCGCAGCTGTAGCTCCCTGGCCCCTCCAATGGTGGGCTCACAGCTGCTTCCTCCCGACACCCCTAACCACGTCCCCCCACCACCGTCCTCTGCTTTCCCCTGGCTGAGTGAGGATGGTGAGACTCAGAGCGCCCCTACCTTCTCCTTCCCCGACCCTCCACCTGAACTCTGTCCGATATCTAAACTCAGACCGGGACACGGCCTGCTGTCTCGCCGCCCTCCCCCTCCTCGCCTCACTCTGGACACCCTCCCATCAGCTGACAGCCAGCCTGGACCCCCAAGTGCTCGGGCCGCAGGAGGCGGAGGAGAAAGGGTGTTCTCGTTCAGTCCTCCCTCTCGCACGGCGCCAGCAAATCCCAGTAATCCCAACAGCAGCTCTAGCAGCATTAATGCAACAAGCACCAACAGCGCTGGCACGACGGGAAGTCTCTGCAACGGTACAGGTCACGGTAATTTTAGTAACCATGGGAACTTCAGCGCCAACATGAGGGCGAGCAATGGGGGCACCAACGGCGGGCTGAGCAATAACATGAACACTGTTTCCACTTCAGCGCCATCGCAGCAAGAAACCAATCAGCAAAACTCACCCAATGATTCAGGGATCTCATTGGCTGAAGGGGACCTGCTGGGTGTTCTGGTGGACGGTGGGGCGAACAAGGCGGCAGGAGGGAGGGAGCAGGACTCAGAAAAGAAGGTGTGACACTGTTTTTTTTTAGTGCATGTGGTATTCAACCTGCTCCACACCACAACAGGTACTGAACTGTGTTACTTCTGAAATGCTTTAAAGCCATCTGGAGCCAGCTTCAGCACAGAGTTATTCTCCACTTCCTGATACACTCGCACAGAAGAATTAACCTACTTGTAACGCAAAAAGCACCTTAAGAGATTTAACCGTCAACATGTGAAGGAGAAATAAGAAATACTTTCCGGTTTCCTCTGAAACACCACAACAAGAGGCCAAAATGTGTATATTCTTAATCTCTGGTAGTCTTAGCATTGTTTCCACAAGTGTACTCTTTAATAAATATTACTTATCACATGTTATGCTTCTTTTTAAAATAAAAATTGAAACCTGAAACTATTTGTACATTACTACTTTATTTTCTGATTACAGGAGTGCATTGTATGGACATTTTGACTTAAATTCAAAACTACAAATACTATAGAAGCAATCTGACCGGCTGTGAAGAAACATTTTTAATGCATATAACCTCCCCGTTTACATGAGTGTGTATCAGATGTAATAGTTCGTGACATAAAATGTGCACAAACAATTCAACAATGATTTTCTTTAAAAGTATGCAGCCAGTGTACCAAACTTAGATTGTGATGTCCAACACATAAAGAAGTAAAAAATAAGTAGGTAGCAGCTTTATACAGTGGTCCCAGAATTAACAGTAAATAATAATGAGCAAATAAAGAAGTAAAACTCAATTGCTAATGCAGTGTTTCAAGCAATACATAACGTAACAACAATATCTTGGTCTGTGGTTGTGGTCCCATGTTTTTGGCCTGTGATTCCTTAAAGGTGGAGAAAGCCATTCCTGAGGACAATTGTTGGTATCTGAACTTAGCCTTCAGAGTTCCTACGGAGACCTCTGCCCGAAATTAACAAACCCACATTGTCACCTCAATAATAATAACAACTGGCCTTGCTGACCAAAAAAAGTCATGTGTAGAATCTGGACATCTCTGTCTTATGACGGAAACAAAACATCATTTGAGTGAAAACTAGTGAGTTAGCTGTTGCTATTGCTTTTACCGGCTAGTAGAACCATGGAGTCGGCTGCAGAGTCCATCCCTTCCCTGGTGGAGCTAGATGATCTGCTGCAGTGGTTGCTGCACAGAAGAGGCCAAGTAGGATGGGATTCTCAGTCTGCGCCATGAGCACAGGAGCAGAGCCCTGTGGTGCTGAAACTGGCTTCCTGCTAGTCTTTTTGCCTGGGAAATAGTGATGTGAGAACTGGGTAATGCTGTTTCTCACATCTCCTCTACAGTGCACAAAAAGGGGGAGCAGTGTTTTAAAAATCGTTTGAATTCACTCTGTTGTATGGAAAATGTACAAAGCCAGAGCTAAGTACACAAATTTTGAACACAGGACGGCTAGCAGACCGCCAGGAAATATTCACAGAACTCAACAGAGTGTATTGGATGAGAATGATTCACTCCACCTTTAAAACGATGTAAAAAATGTCTTCTTTGCACCCCTGATCGCAGGTTATGGCTTTTATGTGGACTTAAACTAAAAAGCAATAGCTCCTCCTAGGGCTGCTTAAAGAGAAGCAAAAGTCTCCAGTATTCCACAAACAAATAAAATAAAAATTCAAGAAGTCAGAAAATAATAATTTTATCTAACAGATGTATATTTTTTTTCCTTCCATTAAGATAATTACAAACAATCAAAGCTGAATGATCATTTTTCAAATCAATGTAATTCCACTTAATATAAAACACTGACATATTGCAGCCTCCACTCACACTTAATGCTCAAGGAGAAGCAAATATTTATTTAAACATTAAAACAGTCAGTATAATACGGGGATATCTGCAGCAGTCCAGTTTAGAAAGCTACAGTATCTATGGCTTTTTAAAACAGCTAACAAACATAAATATAACAGTGTTATGTTGTCATCTGTAGCAGGTGTCAGGCTGGTTTCACAGCTTAGTTTAGCTGCCTTCTTCAGCCATGGTGTGTTTGTCAAAGAGGTACTCAGCCAGGCCACTCTGCGGAGCTCCCATACGGCGCAGGTTTGAGATCCAGTCGGCGAGCTCTTTGATAGATTTCACCTGCTCATCCAGGTAATGTGTTTCTATGAAGTCACACATCTGTGGAGGAAACAGGACAAAATGTTGCATCTTATTAGACTGTCAGCTCCAAACGGCAGATACAGGAATTTATCTGAGTCTGTGTCTCACATGAGGGTCATTGTGCTCGGACGCCATTTTCTGCAGGTCCAGCAGGGATTGGTTTACGCTTTTCTCCAGCTGCAGGGCGCACTCCAGAGCCTCCAGGCCGCTCCCCCACTCGTCCCTATCAGGTTTCTGACACATAAATAATTAATGGGAATTTAACACTGATTTGTTCAAATAAAACGTGCTAAAACAGGAATCTGGACACATTATTATTATTGCAGTTTTGGTCATAGAAAATCTAGAGACATCACTTTGGACTAAGGATTTGTACGGGCACTTTTTTTGATTCGAAAAACAGGCATTAATCAAGTTTTTTCATCCAAACTTTTTTTTTTTCCCAAAAATAAAAGGATCCTTACATACCCTGACATCCTGCAGAAAAATTTTGCCTCCCCGCTTGTTCTGCAGACTCATCAGCTTCTCTGCGTGCTCACGCTCCTCTTTGGACTGTTTGTGAAAAAACTTTGCAAAATTTGGGAGGGATTTGTCATCCCTTTCAAAATAGTACGCCTAAAAGCCAGGAGAGAAACAGGATGAGAAACATGACTCACTGACTTAATACCGTGCTACAATACATGATGCTGCTGGCTTGAGAGGAGTTCTTACCATGGAGAGATAAACATAAGAGGCGTACAGCTCCAGGTTTATCTGTCGGTTAATGGCAGCCTCGCAGTCCTGGTGGAAGTTTTGTCGGATTTGCGAACTCATTTCTGTATTGAATAAAACAATTAATAAATAAGTGAGCAAATGCCCACAGACTCTTCTGTTGGTCAAATGTAGGGCAGTACGTAACTGGAGAGGCATATTATGCAAGTATATAGACATGAATAGAAAACCTAAATTAGTCGATGCATGTTGTGCCATGAAACATGACCAACAACGAGAGGGCGACAAACACACATTGGACCACAAATGAGAGAGCTGACGGCACCTCATATAGCACAAAGTATTCATTAACTTATGTCTCTGAGACGCCTGCAAAACTGAATACATGGATTTCCAATGACAGCATCTTTATGCCAACATGCAGAACACTAAATCAAATAACCATCTGCCACCACTCACTTGCCCCAAATGACAAGAACCTTCTATTCACATAACCAGAGTGGGAATTTAGCAACAGCCACATTCAGGAAAATATGAAACTGGCTACTAGATTCCAGTCACAAAACAATGATTTACTGTTGAATGGCTGGTGATGTTAAACATTTATCTGTCAGTGGCTGGTAGATGCTGAACAACACAGAAGGCAAATGATCTGTTGTTCTGACTTAGAAGAAAAGTTTGAAAGTCTAATTTCAATTGTTATGGTTAGAAAATGGGTCAAATGTGTAACCAGCAAACAGTCAGTCCTGTACCAGTGACATCTTATAAGACGACTTTATTTAAATGATACGATGCCACAGATGATAAGAGATACACGAGAATGGGCAATTGGCATGCTGCATACTGGAGTGTCCACAAGTACAGCATTTGTTCTTTAAGAAGTTGTTTCTGACAGCATGATACCACAGACATCTGCAACATTTGTAGTTGTGTTTGGTGTATGTCCAAGTTTTGAGACACGTCTTTGTAATTTCGCCCTGATACAATGGAAGTGGATGGACATAATTGAAGTAGTTAGTTTCTTAGATGTTTATTGTAGCTCTAGTGGATCTACTACTTTCTCATAAAACATCCACTCCAACTTAAAACAAACTGCCAGGTCTGTGGGGACAGTGATTTGTGTGCATTGACCCTTTAAGAGAATAGCTGCATTCATATCGACCCAGACTGAATGACCTTCATATCACAATAACAGGAAAACAAAGGCCAACTGTGTATTTAACTAAGACGTTATTAATCAAAGATACTAAACTATCTCAACTGTAGTCTTGATGTACAGCTAGTCACAGATATGAATGATAAAAAACAAACAACCATGGTGAACAGGACAACACACACTGGGTCTGTTCACTAACTGATTATTTTTAGGAATAAAACACAAACATTGTTCAGCTGCTAATGCAGACAAACGTCACGTTCAGTTGGTCCCATGAAAGATGCCAACATGGAGGCTGGATAGTTTATTAAAGCAGAGAGCAGCCTTGGCTGGAAATAATACTGCTTTTACTCATGGAAACTAGCACGTCCCAGTTAGGCAGCAGCCTAACCAGTAGCATGCTAACGAGGCTACTAGTGAAGTTACCTGACGGAGTTAGTCACTGCTAGCTAGTCAACCTGCACCAGCTCGTCCCATCAACGGCAGACAGTTAGTAAGCTAGCTAACAGGCTGAGCTGACGGTTAAATAAACCCACCTGCTTTTTGACGACTCCTCACTTTGTACTGAAGAAATTGAGCCTGTTTGTGATACGGTCCAATATTATTATTTATAATAATTAGGCTGGTATTTGTCAGACTAGTAGACGGTGCTGCTGTCTGTCCGTGTCAGCGGCGCAGTCTGAACGACGCAGCGACGTCTGCGGTGAAAGGTGCGGGACGGACGAACCAGACAGCAGCAGGAAACGGTCCATGTGCTCAGGTGTTCAGGTTTAACTGTCACAGATTTACGTAGATTTAACCGCAGCTTCTGACTCCACAAACAGTGATACAGCGTTTTATCTCCAATAAATCATCACTTCATTACACAGGGCTGAATGTAAACGTGCTCTTTGCCCAAGTTTTAGGTAATTTTCTAAACATGTTCAGGTTTAGGCATGGAATTATTTAATAATATTAAATAAACATTATAATAAAACGCATGAAATATATTGCAAAATAAATAAGAAAAAATCTTTTTTGTATTTTATTATTATTAATAATAATAATAAAAAAAAATAAGCCCCTTAGAAAATTTTAAAAATCTATATTTTGAATTTTTTTCTTTTCTTTTTTTTAAAAGAGAACTATAATTATTACATCTATTCCTGGATTTATTTCTTAGCCATATCCAATTATTTTGTGGGAAATTTTTCAAGTATTTTATTAATATTGAATGAAGCTGCTTTCCACTGTAAAACACTGAGTGGTGTAAACACTTTTCAATACAGAGAGTGGTGAACAATGGAGCAAACATCAGAAACTATTTTAGCAAACAGCTAACTGTACTTTAAGTCACTGCTGTTCAGTCTTCATTTACAGTGTGTACAGGTCCAGGGTCAAATATTGTCATAATTTGCACCAGAATCTGCATTAGCCAGTTAAACTGCAGGTACAGACAAGAGAACATGCCGGAAAGTTCCTTTTGTAGAATACAATGAGCTTTAAGTTTACATTGTTTTGTTTTTTGTAATTTAACAATATAAGTGCATTTTCTTCTGTATTTACACTGGACTGCGCATACATATATATCACCAACAATTTAAATATTGTGCTTTTGGAAAGTGATACAGCCAAAGTCAGCCATTTTTAAAAGTTTTTAGGAAACGCCCAAGCACCTTCAGTTGTAAATTTGACACGTATGCATCTAATTCTCTTTTCAAGTCCAGAATTATTAAATAATCTCACTACAGAATCCCTAGCATAGCAGCTTTCAACCACCGAGTTGTCAAGCATTTGTAAATTTGCAAACTTCCATTTTCTGACCTGAAAACTATTACTGGCTTTAAACAAAGCGCAGACTCATCCTGAAAATCATGCTGCTAATAGCGACTAGGTGACAAAGTCATCAGACAAAAAACAGACCTTTAATATTGACATGGCAAAGCAATACACCCATAAATACTAGAAACAGCCACATTCCTGGTGTTGTACTTGCTGCCTTACTGTCCTGGTACGACAGAATGAGACCAACCCATCACCAATATTAGTGGTTCTGCTTTGTTACAGTGAAAAGTCAAAACTCTATAAAAAGCAAAAACTTAAAACCAATTCCATGAAAATCAAAGTCTGAGATATGAAGATATGGTCATTTCTTATTAAAGAATCAACAACACTAAAAATGCAAATAAAAACATTCAGAGAAAACATGTTACTTTATTTGAAACAAAATGTTCAAAAATTAAACTTTATACAGCAGCGTGTACATCTGTATGAGTGTACAGACGTTACTTGTTTCCACCCGGAGGTGAGTGCCACACCGCAGAGCTGGTGCGTTTAAAATACCGAGGCTTGCTCTTGTAAAAGATGTTTTCCAGTCTTGGTGACTCAATTATTCCAAAGAAAGAGTCTAAATCAGGAGGGTTGAAGTATTGCTTCATAATTATCTGCTGCAGATTGGGACCTGGAAAGAGGAAACAGACATCAAATAGGTCATTCATCGTTCACAATCATGTACACATCAATCAGGAATAAGACACGTTACAGCTGACTGCCAAGTCCTGCACCCCAGTTACTGCTGCTCATAAATCACATAATGCAATTTACAATAAGTGGGGCACTTTTAGCATCAAAGCTTTGACTAATCATCAAAACAATATGCTCTTGATTGTATCGTGCGATCATTATTTTGTTGGCTGCAATCGCCACTTGTGCCGGCAGCCTTCATTAGCTGTGAGTGGTGAGGTAATTAAGATAACATTGGTTGGGTGAAAACACGGCTGATTCTTTAATGTTTGACTTTTACAAGACCCTTGTAAAAAGCTCTTTGTACGCACTGACAGCCACTTGTGATATCACGCTAAAAGACTCAGTTTAAAGCTGCACGTTCCATCCAATACAGCCAATCCAGTGTTGGATTAATAAGCAACTACTACAGTAGTTTGTGGATACTGAAGAGTCTGAGCATCATCACAATAAATAAATAACTGCACTAAGTCACACAAACCTTCTGCCCAGGACGGAATAGGTTTCCTCGGTGCAGACTCATCGTCGGTGGAGTCGTCACTGTTTTGGTCCATCCCGTAATCCTCTGCACTTTTGGACGTAATCAAAGGTTTATTGCTGCCTTTTGGCGTGATGACGTATGACTGTGGTGAGGACTGCAGCAGGAGAAGGATTAAAAAAAAAAAAAACATTATGAGGCTTTATGTTCAAAAGGACTTTTTTCTGTTATGTTTTAAGATAGAAATTGATGAAATATGTGCACCTAAAGTGTATCATGAATATTTACCTCACAATCCACCACATTGGGGCCACCACCTTTTCCTACAGGTGTGCTCAACACGGAGCGCTGAGAAGACAAGTGGACAATAACAGATGTCACAAAAGACAAACACAAAGCTGTACAAACATTCTATAAATGACTCATGTGGTTTTACAGCCACAGAATAGCAATAATTGATTAATTGACTGAGTATCCGTATAATGTTTTTTTCCCCACCCCCAGTGTCTTTATAAACAGTACAAGGCCACCTCGAGAAAAAGTGCTGCAGTCAAAATCACTTTTTCAACCAATTAAGTTTTTGCAAGACTGCTAACATTGGTTCACGTTGAAATTTTTTACAGAAAGGTGCTGGTGCAATCACGGTTGTTCCTTTTCAGGTCTATTGTGAGCTGTATATTTTAGAGATGATCACAGTGAGGGCCAATGCTAGTCCATCATACAACTGAATTAAGAGTGATAACAAGATGTTAAGATACGGTTTTAACAGAAACAAAACCAACATGCGTTTTTGATGAAGCGATAAGGTAAACTCTTGAATGCCCTGACTGCACTGTTTGATGTACCTAAACCAGACCACAAGGGACGTGGCACTACATACACAGGTTGGAAACATTTTAATTCCAATGTGTCCACATGTTTGCTAAAGATTGAGGTGAAAAGTGACGGTGTGAGTAATTAGATTCTTACCTCAATGTCCACAGTCACATTCAGGGCAGCACACGTCTGCATTAGAGATGAGAAGGAAGGAAAAACAAGGTACATTTAAGAATAACATTGCAAATAAGATATTCTCCAAAAAAAAAAAAAGTACACGAGAAAGATATGGTTATTTAATATCTAACACATAACACAATGTCTGGTTGTGTAATGTACAAAACAGTAAAAAAAATAAATACAAATTGAAATGTAAAAAAATAAAAATAAAATCAGTTTTCATCAGATTCTGTAGGTTTTAGGCTCTTTAATGAGTTTCTCAACCAAAGTTCTGTGAATAATCCACAGAAAAGACTAACAATTGCTTTATATTTAAAAAAAATGTTAAAGAACAAAGTCTACGGACAACTAGGACAAATAAAGCCAAATCTACCTACTGGGCCAGTCACACTTTGGCTGAACCTTCAAACTGACAATAAGTAGCCTTTAATTCAGCTTTGACTCAGTCTAAACCGCCTGTGTCCATTAGGTTAAGTATTACTTTCCACTGTCTGGGTACCTGTGTGGCCTCTTTCTGCTTTGCGGCTTCTCTCTCTTTAAGAGCTTTCTCTTTTGCAGCCAGTCTTTGCTGCTCCTCCTGGTGGAAAAAAAAACACAATCACATCAATAACCACATAGTTGAGCAGCTATATGTCAAACTCGAAGTTGCTGAATATGTCTCAAAATGATGCATGTATGAGTGGACTAAATATCTAAAGTTGTAAAAAAAAAAAAAGAATTATGTGCTATAAAAACCTTTTGTTGCACTGCTAAAGCATCACAGGAAACATTTTCTGTTTGAATTTCTTACCAGTTTTCGTTTTTCCTCAAGCGCCTTCCTCTTCTCTTCCAGTTCCCTCATCTCCTTCTCTCTGGCTGCTCTCTCCAGTTCACGTTGCAGAGCGAGAGCCTTTTCTTTTTCCACTCGCTCCCTGGAAACAAACATCAAGTCAGTAAAACAATGTCTAAACCTTTAAGATGTTCGGGTTACTTTGTAAACAAGCCATTGTGGTTACGATGTTAGGTATGGATGGGACCCATTGGGATTTTATCAATACGGGTATTTATTGATATTCTTCCACATCATAGCACCGTTTATCCATTTATCTCATAAAACTGCAACGTGATCATTTCCGACTGTTAAATGTAGATTCTGCGATTTTAATGCAATATACTTTTTGTCAATCTCAGTGAATATCTTTATATGCCTCATTAGCTGTCCATTCTGTATGTGCACTGGGCAAAAAACCCAAACAAATGAAAAATCCTAACAAACTAACAAAAAAAAAAAAAAAAAAACATTTATCGAGGCCTGGACGAATCCAAGCAGCACGATTGTGTCCTGAGTACGTTTGCACAGAACAGACGGAGGGAGATGTTAAGTCCGACGCATGCATCTAAACATGCTAACAGGCTAAATAAAAAATAATCTCTCCAGAATCACAGACGCCATTTGCAGCTGCTGCTCACGGGGATGGAGAATAAACTAAAGGTAGATTTATAGCTGTTAATTTAGTGAGTGTGTGTGATCTACCGGTCGTTTGAAATATATGTCATACATATGAAAGCAGAGAGTCGCTCAATGTTGACAGCAGGGAGGTGATAAGACCAGCACAGGCAGCAGCACTTAACTTAATGTTAGTGTTTAAACTTCAGCTGGGGCTCTAACCTGTAGCTGGTAAATTATGCTTTAAAAAAAA